GGCTCGATCCCCAGTAGGGGTGTGTAGGAGCCAGCCAATCAGTGATTCTCTCTCATCATTGACGTTTCTATCTCTCCCTCTCCCTTCCTCTCTGAAATCAATAAAAATATATGTAAATTAAATAGATAAATAAAGAGTCAGAAAGACTGGGGTTAGTGTTCTGGTCCTGTCACTTGTTAGTTGCTCAGAGAGAGACATCAATGGAACAGGTTCTTTAACTAGTTAACTCCTTTGTGAAATGGGTGGAATAAAAATTAGATTACAAAATGAAAGAATACATCTAAAACCTCCAGCATAATACCCATAACATAAGAGGGCTCAATAAATTTTGGTTTTGTCTCTTACAACTACAAAGCCATTCCAGAATTCAGATACTACTGGGAGCTCTATTTTTAGTAATTTCAGTCCACATTTTCTGCCTCTTGGAATTGCATCCCAGTCAAACCCATTTTCTTAATTAACATCATCCTAAGTTTGTCTCAAGGAAAATAGTGCCTGGATTTTACCCTGAACTTATAATCTGCCTGGACCGAAGATCCTAACCTTCTCAGCCATTTAACCTACAGTTTGACAGCCTCCCTGTTTTCAGATGGTGAGAACTTGGAGAACACTTAATCTTGAGCAGAATCTGGGCCAGTTTCACCAGAACAAAAAGGAGGAGCAGAGCACTGTGCTAACTAATTCAGGACATTCGGTCACTTTATCACTTTAATCCATTAATCTAATTACAAAGTGACTACCACCAAATAGTTTTTTGGATATTTTAGCTCTTCTTCTCTTCTAAGGCACCCTTTAAACCTTCAACTTGAAAGATTCTGGATTATTTGAAGTAGATATTGAAGACTTCTTTTATATTAAAAGAAGAATAAAATAAAATGGCAAACCTAGAACCAATAGAGGAGATGACTGATCCCGAAAAAAGGCAGAAAACTTGAAAGAAAAACAAATTAAAAGACATAGTTGAAGGCAAGGGATGGGAAGAGTAGAGTAACAATTAGGTGATTATTATCGGGTATATGTGTTAATAAGCAAAAAATACAACTGTGGACAATTATTTCCCTGCATTGAGTCTACATTGTGGTGCATATTATTGATTCACTTGTTCAACAAATAGGTATTATGCATCGACAACATGACTGGCAATGAGTAAGGTGCCAGGATTATAATAGGGAATAAGATCAAGTTTATAGTCTATTGCAGTGGCCAAAAAACTCAAATAGGAACTAGCAACAGTGGTCACACATAGCATTTGAGATCCATGTATGGGTGTGAAATTAAAAAATCCATATATGATGGGAATGATGAAGCTGAAAGAGTAGCATCTCTGTATTAGATGAGACAGCTGTTACTCAGCTCCATCTGATTTTTGCCTTTCAGGAATGTGTGGTCTCCTATTGCCAGATTTTTTAAAAATTTCTTTAATTTTTCAACATTATTTTCATTACATTCAACATTATTTCTTTACATTCAATATTATTTGCATTAGTTTCAGGTGTGCAGCCTAATGGTGCTCCTTTCTTAAAGTGTGTTGCCAGATTTTTAAAAAATTTCAAGAGAAACCAGAATTCTTATTTTTATGTGAATCTATTGATTAATTGATATCGGCTCAAAATTTAAAAACAAACAACAAAACAGACACTAGTTTGAAATTCTCTAGTTACAGAGGATTTGTTACTGGTGAAAGTATGAATGAGCTCATAGTTTTGAAATAGTAGTAGGTGTAAGAGTAGAAATTGTTACTTAACCTGTTCAACTTGATTTTTAAAGTGATGATTCTGTGGAAGCATAAGCAGAGTTAGTTGATACAGAATTATAAATGAATATCCTAAAATGGCAATCTAGATTATCAGAGGATGTACACTCTAAACAAAGTGCGTGGATATAGAAATATAATTTTACAGTTCTATATTTATGGTGGGCATGATTACTCTAGTGCACATGAAAAGCAGAGTCATGGGAATTGTTAGCACAGGGTGAATATTGGAAACATAAAAGGAGTTGTCTGTTTTCAAGCATGGTTTCTATCAGCTGCAGCAGTTTCAGAAAGTTTTCTTTGTCCTTGAGATCCTCCTCATCTTGTTGGATAAGCTCAGTTCCTGTACTCTGGTAAGAAAGCCTGAGTTTCTTAATTTGTCTTCATTACTGTGTCAGTCTATGTTATGTTCACCCTGATCTCTTAGCTTTGCTTAAATATTTACTCTTTGTGCAACATCACTCTAGATATACCTACTTACATTTTTCTCAATCTCATCTGGACTCCTCCAGAATTTATGCTTCAGCATTCCTCTTAACCTTTTAAAAATTATTTATTTTTCACTTTTAAATATATTTTTATTGACTTCAGAGAGGGAGAGATAGAAACATCAATCATGATAGAGCATCATTGACTGGGTACCTTCTGCACATCCCACACTTGGGATCAAGCCCACAACCAGGGCATATGCCCTGACCAGGAATTGAACCTCGACCTCCTGGTTCATAGGAGCTACACCATCTTAACCTTTAATAAATCATTATTTACTATTGTCATTTATACGTATCACTTATATGTCTGATCTTTGTTGAACAAGAATACAAATGTATGAGGGTAGGCACTGTAATTTTTTTTTAATATATTTTATTGATTTTTTACAGAGAGGAAGGGAGAGAGATAGAGAGTTAGAAACATCGATGAGAGAGAAACATCGATTAGCTGCCTCCTGCACATCTCCTACTGGGGATGTGCCCGCAACCCAGGTACATGCCCTTGACCGGAATCGAACCTGGGACCTTTCAGTCCACACGCCGACGCTCTATCCACTGAGCCAAACCGGTTCGGCATAATTTTTATATATCTTAAACTCCCTAAGAGTTTAAGATCCCCAAGATCACCTCCAGGTTTGATTTGCTAGGAGGACTTACAGGATTCAGAATATAGTCATACTCACAACTTGATTTATTACAGCAAAAAGATATAAAGCGAAATCAGCCAAGGGAAAAACACTCGGGGCAAAATCTGGGGGAAATAAAGCACCAGTTTCTGAGTTCTCTTACTGGACTCACACAGGACACACTTAATTCCTCCAGCAATAAGTTCTGACAACACATGTGAAATGTTGTCAACCAGGGGCACTCATCAGAAACTCAGTGCCTGGGTTTTTGTTGCGGTTGATCATGTAGGCAACCTGTGCCTAAGACTTACCCAAATTCCAGACTCCTAAAAGGAATATTCAGGTGCTTGGCATAAATCATATTGTTTGCAGAAATAGTTTAGGCACAGTCAGCCACTCATCATTTAGGGAAAGCTTATATCAGTGTCGGGAACTGTTTATTATTCAAATATGAGTTCAGAAGAGCTAAACTATTTGCTTAATTTCACATGGCAAACATGTGAAGGAACCATGTTTTAATATTTATTCCCAAGTCAGGTGTTTCTCTACCACACATATTGTATTCTTCTTAAATAGGTATTGCCTGTCTAATAGGTTAATGTTTTTTTTTTTTTAAAGTATATTTTATTAATTCCTACAGAGAGGAAGGGAGAGGGACAGAGAGCCAGAAACATCAATGAGAGAGAAACATCGATCAGCTGCCTCCTGTACACTCCTCACCGGGGATATGCCGCAACCAAGGTACATGCCCTTGACCAGAATCGAACCTGGGACCCTTCAGTCCACGGGCTAACGCTCTATCCACTGAGCCAAACCGGCCAGGGCTAGGTTAATGTTTTATAAATGGAATTTGCACCAAGTATGTTAAAAGGAGGTTGAGCAGATTTTTGTTATGATTCTAGATCAGCCGTGGGCAAACTACGGCCCGCGGGCCGGATCGATCCGGCCCGTTTGAAATGAATAAAACTAAAAAAAAAAAAAAAAAGACCGTACCCGTTTATGTAATGATGTTTACTTTGAACTTATATTAGTTCACACAAACACTCCATCCATGCTTTTGTTCCAGCCCTCCGGTCCAGTTTAAGAACCCATTGTGGCCCTCGAGTCAAAAAGTTTGCCCACCCCTGTTCTAGATCCTAGAATTCTAGTTCTAGAATTTCTAATTTCTATCTTCTTAAGACCCCAAGAAAGACTGGAAGTCTTAGAGAGTAGAACTTTGGTACCAGTGCTTGCTTTCTGTTTATATTCACTCCTTTTGAAAGTGTATTTATCAACTATAACAAAGGAAGACAAAGATGAATAAGATCTTTGCCTCTGAAGAGCTCACAATCTAATTGTGTTTAACTGTGAAGAAAATATAAGCAGAGTGAGGTAAATACATAACAGAAGTACATAATAGAAGCAGATGAGAAGAGTCCAGAGCAGTTTGATACAAGTCAAAAGAAGAGTTAAATGATGTTGTCATTCTTTTAATATACTGTTCTCTAGATAGTACATATTGAAAGTTGCATATTGCTAATCTTGATACAAACGTAAGGTAGCATTAACACGGCATATTCATAGATTTAAGGACTCGAATAAAAGCTTACTACACTGCTGCTTCGTTTGGCCTTAGACTCGCAGTGGTTCTCAACCTTCCTAATGCCGCGACCCTTTAATACAGTTCCTCATGTTGTGGTGACCCCCAATTTCATTGTGACAAATTGAATATAATTAAAGCATAGTGATTAATCACAAAACAACATGTAATTATATATGTGTTTTCCGATGGTCTTAGGCGACCCATGTGAAGGGGTCGTTCGACCCCCAAAGGGGACGCGACCCACAGGTTGAGAACCGCTGCTTTAGAGTAAAAACCGCTGACATTCTTTCGCAGACTGTTGAGCTTGGGTCTGAGATTTCCTGGGAACTACCCAGCAAGTGGTTTCGGTTCCGCGAGGAAAAGCTCGGGCAGAAGCTTTCTGGCAGCACCGAGGGCTGGCCCGGCCGAGCCCCTGCCCGCGGGTTGGTGGGGGGGTCTGCAGGTGGGGCGGTGTTCGCCGGCGGCCGGGCAGGCTGCGCCCCCGAGGCCAGACCTTGCCCAGGATACTCGGAGCGCAGGGTAGACCCGGAGCGCGAAGGCAGCTTCCTGGCCCCAGGCCCGCTGGGGAGTTCTGCGCAAGCGCGTTAGTCGTGCGACAACCGTCACTTACGGCCGAAACGGTTTGTGCGGGGAGTTGGCGGCGCGCTGCAGCTCTTAGGGACGGACGGCTCGGGCGCGGGTAATCGGCTCCCTTTCCCCCTTTCTCCACTCCTTGTAGGATCTGGGGATCATGGAGCTTCCGGACCTGCTGCGGGCGCCCGGTCGTGGACTGCCTCACCCTGCTCCGCTCCCGCTCGGGGTGATCCCGCGCCCAGGTGGGGGTGAGGGGCGGGGTCGGGGGCTTGCCTGGACTCCATCCTGGCGTCTCCGCTTTGCGATCTCCTGGGTAACTCGTGCCTGCTCTTGTTTTCCAGGACTGGTATCCGGGGACTGTGACTCGCAGGGTCCGCCATGGAGCCAGAGCAGATGCTGGAGGGACAGACGCAGGTACCCGGAGGCCCTGGGTTCATGGTGGCGGTGTGCAGCGAGAAAGGGTGGCCGAGGTCTCTGACCTGTGTTTTGTTTTCTAGGTTGCAGAAAACCCTCACTCCGAGTACGGTCTCACAGATAACGTCGAGGTAACTCGCCCAGTTCCTATGCCGTTTCTGTACGTCTCTTAAGAGCTGGAAAAAAAACCCCAAACACCTCGGGATCTGTTTTTACTAGGTGGCTTTGCACAAGGGAAACTTGATCATCACGAAGCAAATACTGTCACATTGTGGGTAGCTTGTTTTATTAGCGGTCCTAACACTTCGTATTATACAGACGTACAAATTAATTTTTAGCCAAGAGGTTGAACTTGTGAAGAAACATGCATACATTGCTAGTGGAGACTTAGAATCGTTTGGCTATCTATTGGGATATTGCTTTGGAAAAACGGCACATTAAAATTAAAAAACCCATTGTCTTTATAGCAGGATTGTGTTGGTGTCGTCCGCATTTAATACATGTTGATTTCTTTGCAGAGTTCAGTAGGCAGGTGCCATTGGAAACTATAATATACACAGTAGATACTGTTTTTGCCTTGCATGGTTAAGTCTGAATTCAGAGTACATGTGAAAAAAAAAAACACATGAAAAAGAAGGTAACTTTTATAGAGTTTTCTATATAAGTCCTAAGAGGTTGTTGTCTAAAAGTAGAAGTTACTTTGTAAATGAATAAGTGCTGGAACAAATGAATTACCAAGAGCTGGGTGGAATTGGTTAGGAAAACAGAGGCTTCCTTTCCTGTAGGAGATGTGTACGTTTTACTACGAAAGGAAAGACATTACTGGTGATTAAGTTTGGATAAATGAGGGCAGAAGCATTTCTGAGGAGTATAATAATTGTAACAGCTACTAATATTTCTTTAGCCCCTTTACTATGGGCCAGGCACACCCTAAATAATTGGCATATATCCTCAGCCCTATAAGACCCACAAGTTGAGTAACTTGTTAAAGGTTACCAAGAGGTAAGTGGAGCGCTGTGCGTTAAACCTAGGCAGGTTGACATTTTAAAAGTACAATTAAATTGTGTTGCTGATCTTGACCAAACTCCTAGAGTTTGCTGGCATGGGGAATGACTACTCTGTGCCTATAAAATTGCTAGGCATTTTTATTGCTTTGATATCAATACAGATAGAGAATCTTTTCTTTCTAATGGGTTTTTAGTTGAACTTCTGCTGAATCAGGTGAAGACTCTTTATACCACTTTGTTTTCTAGCTATTTAAGAGACCTTTTTAAGGCATCAGTGGTCTTTTCTTGATGGTGCTTGTATATAATGCTGGAGCCATGTTGCTGTAGAGCAGTGATAACAACATGCTTTTTCCCAAACCCTCAGTCCAATTTCCATGGTAAAGTGAGAAAAAAAAAGTGGAGTGAGTGTTTAATGATGATACGTATTTGGTGATTGGTCTTCCTGCTTCTATAATTTTAAACTGCTTGTTCTTTTTTTGAACTAATGGTGATGGTAAAATAATTATGTTTGTAATTTTTTTACTTGGCAAAATACAATTAACCCTATGTTAGTTTCTTCATTTATTGTATTAGTTTATTTCTTTGTTTGCAATATATGAAAGTCTGGAAATCACAATTCTACAGCTGCTGTTGCCGCTTTTTCTCTTATGGTTTTCTTTTTATTGGTTTGTTAAAATTATTTTTAGGTGTTGGCTTTAGGGTTTATAGTATGCAAATTTAACTTACCACAATTAACCTTCAAGTGGTAGTATATATTTTCATTTATAGTATAAGAATTTTACAACAGCAGTCTTTCATTCATTTATTCTCTCCTGGACTTTGTACTATTGCTATCATATATTTTACTTCTACATATGTTATAACTTCTACACTTCATTATTTTTATTTTTTCTTTAAAAATTCAGTGATTTTTAGAGAGCTTTAAACAGTAAGAAAAAGGAGTATTTCACGTTTACCTGCACATTTACCATTTCTGGGCTCTTTATTAAAAAACTATATATATATATTTCTCCAAACCACACCATTTGGGCAGCTCTTCATTCTTTTGTGTAGATCCAGACTTCTGTCTGTTATCATTTTCCTTCCACCTGAAGTGTTTCCTTTAACATTTCTTGTAGTTCAGGGCTGCTGGTAAGGAATTCTTTAAGTTTCTGAATGTGTGAAAATGTCATTTATTTTGACTTCATTTTTTGAGATATCTTTGCTGGGAGTAGATTTATTCCACTGTCTTCTGGCTGATATTGCTTCTGACAAGAAGTCTGCTATCATTCCTATTTTTGCTCCTTCATAGTTAATGCCCTTTTTCTTGGGGCTTTTAAAATTTATTAACAGGTTTTAAATAATTTGATTATGTTTTTTCTTGGTGTACTTTCAAAAAATTGTTTTTTTTAAATTTTTTTGTTTCTTGTGCTTAGGATTTACTGAGTTTTTTGAATCTGTGTATTTAGAGTTTTCATGAAATTTTAAAACAATTTCAGCTATTATTCAAATTATTTTCAAGTATTTCGTTTAACTTGTGCTTTCCTCTATATTCTTGAACACATGGAAGGGATATCTTATAATAACTTGTTTAATGGCATTGCTTATTTTATCATTTGTATCTGAGTTTTTCTGTGAGTTGATTTTTTTCCTCATTATGGGTAATATTTTCCTGCTTTGCTGCCTTACAATTTCTTTTTATTATTCCTCCTCTGAGGATATATTTATTGATTTTAGAGACAGAGGAAGGGAGAGAGAGAGAGAGAGAGAAAGAAAAACATGGATTGGATACCTCCTGCATGTCCCCGGACCAGGGATTGAGCCTGCAACCAGGGCATGGGCCCTGACTGGGACCAGGAATCTAACTGTCACCTCCTGGTTCCATAGTTTGAGCCCCCCTGGTAAATTTTTATTGGAAGCTGAGTGTTATGAATTTTACTTTATTGGTATCGGTTATCTTTTTATTCCTTCAAACATTCTTGAGCTTTGTCCTAGGACATAGTTACTTGGAAACAATTTGATCTTTCTGAGGTTTGCTCTTTCCTAAGTAACACCAGACCAGCCTTTAGTTTAGGCTTCATTTCCTCTTCTCTTTCATATTCTACCCAGTGCTTCATCTGTTAAGAGGTTTTGCCAGTCTAGGTCACAGAAACATGAAGTATTCCTGGCTTGTGTGAGTGCTCCTTCCACGCGTTTTTTTCCTTGGCCTCCAGTAGTTTCCTCACACCCATGCTCTGATAGGTACTCACCTTTAGGTGTTTTCCTGTGCAACTTTCTCCTTCCCATGTGAATTCTAGACGGCTTTGTCTCCCTGAATTTTCAACTCTTCTCAACCCAGGGAGACTGTGGGTTCTGCTTTGATTCCCTTTGATTTCCTGTATTGCATCTTACAAGTTCTCCAGGCAGGAAACAGTAAGTTGGGGCAATCATAGGCTCACCTTATTTTTTTCCTTTTTTTCGATCACTATTCTAAACTGTTAACAGTTTATTATTTATGTTTTATAGTAGTTTGGAGATACAGGTTTTTTTTTTTTTTAGATCAGTTCAGGATTTTATCTTAACTAAAATTAAGCATAGAAATTTGGCACATAGTGAAAATTCAGTAAATATTTGAATGATTTAAATGAGAGGACTTGGTTAAGGAGTTTATTATAGTATTTATAGGAATTGGTTAGGCATTGCTGTTTCTTATTGAAGGCATTGGGATGTCATGTAACTGACTAATTTTTGTCATATATAGGCTACTGACGGGCACTAAGTAATTAAATTATTAAATTATTAAAATTTACTGACGGGCACTAAGTAATCTATGGGCAAATAAATAGCTCTTTTACTAGGTTTAGGAAAATTTCTTATTAAGTCCTAAAATTACATTGAAAAATCATAAGCAAAAGTAGAATAGCTGCCTTACAAATTTGTGGGATCTATCTTTGGAAACAGTGGTATATATTATGTAGCTATGCGATTAAAGTTTTTTCTCACTTTTTACAAAATAAAATTAAATCTAAAAATATTAAATATAGAAAAGTGTTTTTTTGTTGTTGATTTATTTATATTCACTTTGAGTATGTTTGGAGCAAAAGTTCATTTAAATGGAAGTGCTCTTAATAGTGTTTTGTATTTTAGATAACCATTTATTTGTAAATTTCTAAAACGGTAATTTTTCAAAAGGAGGGAAAATTTTTCACTAAAGTAGTTTTTTAAGAATACATTTTTATTGATTTCAGAGGAGAAGGGAGAAAGATAGAAACATCAGTGATAAGAGAGAATCATTGATTGGCTGCCTCCTGCATGCCCCCTAGGGGATGGAGCCTGCAACCCAGGCATGTAGGTGCCCTTGAGGGGAATGGAACCCGAGATCCTTCTGTCTGCAGGCTGATGCTCTATCCACTGAGCCAAACCAGCTAGGACTCTAAAGTAGTTTTTTTTTTTTTTTTGTGAGTTTATTTGAGCCAAACTGCTGACATATGCCGGGAAGCAGAACCCCAACGAATTGAGATAATGCTCCTAAAGTACTTTTTGATGCTCTGGATGTCATGTGAATCTATGTGAAAGGCCCCAGATTTGGGGGTTCTTAGGAGTAGAAAGTCTAAATCATTGTTTCCTAAACATCATTTGAATATCACAATCATCTTTTCCATATTATTCTTTTTCCCTGTTTTTTTTAATTGTTATTTTTTACTTACTATTTTTTTCTTTATTCACTTTAAAATATCATAGATACATTAAAAAAAAACATAAATGGAAAAGTATTCTCATTGGCTAGTGGTAATAAATTTTAGCTGCATTTTGTTGCCAGTAGAAGGCTCTGAGCCTAAAGCCTACTCTCTCTGTGAACAGGGTTAAGCAAGTGTTACAGAAGTGTTGAAGACATATTAGCACCAAACTGAAACTTTGTCCTTGATATTATCTGTGATGAAAGAGTTGAAATAGGACTAGCTTTCTCACTGATTCAGTGCTACTTAGTTTCATGTCCAGATTTTTTGAAGCACACTGTAGCCTCATGAAAAAAGGGGGACTTGTATTTACTTCTAAAAAGGCAGAGGAAAGTGACAAAGGGGTGGATCTGGAGATATGACATTAAAAGAAAGAGATGTTACGGTGCTCTCAGAAGAAACTGGAATGAAATTTAGAGATCGGTCTGATTTTATTTTGGCGAAGAGATTTGAAGTTCAATACCAGTTTTTAGTCAATGACTTGCCTTTTCTATTAGCGTCATGTTTCCATTATTTTTTGTTTAGTACTCACAATAATCTGAGTATTTGTAATATTATGCATATTTTTTCGATTCACTAGAGGATAGTAGAAAATGAGAAGATTAATGCAGAAAAGTCATCAAAACAGAAAGTGGATCTACAGTCTTTGCCAACTCGTGCCTACCTGGATCAGACAGTTGTGCCTATCTTATTACAGGGACTTGCTGTGCTTGCAAAGGAAAGGTAAGATAATAGTGTCAGCAGAAGGAGTTATCAGAGAATGACTTTTCTAATTGAAGTATCACTAGTTATGTATAATTTTTTTCTTATAAAAAGAACTTATGCATATTAAAAACATTTTAAAAGTCAGCCATAATCTCAGTTCAGACACTAAGTTTTTTCTACAAGTCTTTGATCATATGCATATTTATAAAGACTTGTAATTATGGTATACATGCAGTTTTATATCTCCTTTTTACTTAATATTATAACAAAGTTTTTTTCATATCTATGCATAGACTTCATGAACTTATAAGTTGTTATAGTACCACAATTAACTTAACCATTTTCTCATTGTTGAAAATGTAAGTTCAATTTCCTTTGTTATTATAGATCACCAGGCAGTTTATCTGTTTTCATGCTTCTTTTTTAAAAAAAATATATTTTGTTGATTTTTTACAGAGAGAAAAGGAGAGAGATAGAGAGTTAGAAACATCGATGAGAGAGAAACATCCACCAGCTGCCTCCTGCACATCTCCTACTGGGGATGTGCCCGCAACCAAGGTACATGCCCTTGACCGGAATCGAACCTTGGACCTTTCAGTCCACAGGCCAACGCTCTATTCACTGAGCCAAACCGGTTTGGTGCCTCTTTTGTTTTTATGTAATTACTTTCACATGCTAAATTCCCACGAGTTGGTTTGCTAGTTCAAAGGATACAATTTTTTTTATGGTGTTTGATACTTAGTATCATATTTATGTCCAGAAATGTATTTTTTTGGGGGCGGGGGGACGTTAATCCTTACCTGAGGATATTTTTCTGTTGACTTTTTTTTTTTTTAGAGTGGGAGGGAGAGGAAGAGACAGAGAGAGAGAAACATCTATGTGAGATAGACACATCAATTGGTTGCCTCCCACATCTGCCCCAACCAGGGCAAGGATTGAGCCAGCAACTGAGTTATGTGCCCTTGACTGGAATCGAAGATAGGATCCTTTAGTCCGTGGGCTGATGCTCTACCCATTGAGCAAACTGGCTATGACCAAAAGTTTATTATTAAAATTCTTTCACTATTATCATAGCCTCAACAGCATGAGTGTTACAAACATTTTTTGCCAATTTTTAAAAATTGATTTTAGAGAGAGAGGAAGTGAGAGAAGAGAGAGAAAGAAAGAGATCGATTTGTTCCACTTACGTATTCATTGGTTGCTTTTTAAAAAATATATATTTTATTGATTTTTCAGAGAGGAAAGGAGAGGGATAGAGAGTTAGAAATATCGAGAGAGAAACATTGATCAGCTGCCTCCTGTACACCTCCTACTGGGGATGTTCCCGCAACCAAGGTACATGCCCTCGATCAGAATCGAACCTGAGACCTTTCAGTCCGCAGGCCGATGCTCTATCCACTGAGCCAAACCGGTTAGGGCTCATTGGTTGCTTCTTGTATGTACCCTGACTGGGGATCAAACCAGCAACCTTGGTGTATCAGGACGGTACTCTAACCAGCTGAGCTACCTGGCCAGGAGTTGCCAAATTTTTTTAACTTCTTTATTAACAAGGTTATAATTTTTCTTTTTTTTGGTACAGGTTTTACCCCAGTAATTCTACCTAAATTATTTTTATGTAAGCAAATCCCCCAAAAAATATTTTTTTAAGTTACAGCAGTCATCATTTATTTGGTGCAGATTATGTTTTATTCAAAGAATAATAATGAATACTAGCTCTAGCTGGTCTCACATCGATGTTTCTCTTTCTCTGTCTCTCCCCCTCCCCTTCCACACTCTCTAAAAATCAATTGAAAAAATACCCTTGGGTGACAATTAACAACCAAAATGAATACTAGCAAACTGATACAATTTTTAAAAAAATATATTTTATTGATTTTTTTACAGACAGGAAGGGAGAGGGATAGAGAGTTAGAAACATCGGTGAGAGAGAAACATCTATCGGCTGCCTCCTGTACATCCCCTACTGGGGATGTGCCCGCAACCAAGATACATGCCCTTAACTGGAATTGAACCTGGGACCCATCAGTCCGCAGGCCGCGGCTCTATCCATTGAGCCAAACCGGTTAGGGCCAAACTAATACAATCTGATAAGGAACTTGATGTTTTCTTATCAAGAGAGCTCATCATTGATGCTTCTCTCCCTCTCTCTCTCTCTCTTTCTCTCTCCCTCCCTCCCCCCTCTCTCCCCCTTCCTCTCTGAAATCAATAACAATATATTGAAGAAAAAAAAAAGATGAGAGAGACTCACTGATCAGCTGCCTCCTGTACACCCCTGCAATCCGGGCATGTACCCTGACTGGGAATTGAACAGTGACCTCCTGGTTCATGGGTTGACGCTCAACCACTGAGCCACTCCAGCCGGGCAAGTTTATATAAATTATATGGTAAACATTAAATATTTGCTTTAGATTGTTACATTTATAAAATATGATTTTTTATTTTTTTAAAACATCTTTTAATATTTTTATTGATTTCAGAGAGAAAGGGAGAGGGAGAGAGAGATAGAAACATCAGTGATATGAGAGAATCATTGATCGGCTGCCTCCTGCATGTCCCCCACTTGGGATTGAGCCTGCAACCCAGGCATGTACCCTTGACCGGATTTGAGCCTGGGACCCTTCAGTCCACAGGCTGATGCTCTATCCACTGAGCCAAACTGGCTAGGGCAAATATGATTTATTTTTGGCTCTCTACTGACAGTTGAAGTATGGACATCTTTATTTTTTTCTTTCTCTAAAAAATAAATTTTAAATATAAGCTAGAAGAAAAAATTTGAAGCAGTCCTAAGTAATATGCTATTAGTAAATATAATTTTTAAGTACCAAGTCTGGCAAATTGATTTATCAAATTAACCTTGAAAAATGTTGTCTATGGCTAGCTAGTTGAAAGATAGTTTAAAGTGCTAAGGGAATATTTTGAGATCATTATTAAATATTCTCAGTATGCCTTTTCCTAGTAGGGTTTAAATAGGTGTTTACCCCATTTTCATCTTTGGACTTGTTTTCTCAGCAAGAATTATTTATGTAATAGTGATAAATATGAAATAATATCCATTAACTTTAAAATATGTTTAACTTATCAGGTGTGTTGTATAGTGGCAGTATTAGAACTATTATTGGTTTAAATTATTTTAAGAAAAATAGAAATTGCTTTTTAAAAAGAAAGAAAACTTGTTCAAATGAATACTACTTCCTTTGATTAATCACTTTGTGCATCTACCTGTCTTGGTGATGCTACAGCCATTTTACTATGTAGTTTTTGTATTCTTATTGAAGGTTAATATTCATACAGAAAATTAAGAATATCATAGGTGTACTGCTTGCTGAATTTTTTGACACTAAGCATAATTATGTAACCTGCATTCAGATCAAGAAAGGGAACACTGCTGACACTCCAGCAGTCTCCCTTGTGTCCCCTCAAGTCATTATGCCCCTGGGATAGTTATCATCCCATTGCCAGTACATTTTCCAAACTTGTGTTTTAGAATTGAGTTCATAAGTAGATTTCAGCCATACAAAAATTTCAATCTCTTTAAATTACATTGTTGACTAATCTGCTTCCCTGTCTCATTTACTATACAGGATGTCCCCCCAAAATGTATACACACTTTGAATAATTATTAATTCCGATGAGTTAAACCAGAAAAGGAAGAAACATCAATTGAGCTATCAGAAAAAAGTATGTATACATTTTTGGGGGACACCCTGTATTTACTACAAATGGCCTTTGAGTGTAAAAAGAAAGCTAAAATTTAAAAGATGTATTTTTATTATGGAACAATTTATTTCAATGAACACATCTAGAATACAAATTTCTAAATTTTGGATTTCTTTTCCTTTACAGACCACCAAATCCCATTGAATTTCTAGCATCATATCTTTTAAAAAACAAGGCACAGTTTGAAGATCGAAACTGATTGGGAAGAACAGAAAAATTTGGTTTCTACTATAGATTTACATGATTAAGAGGCAGCTTTAATTGCCATGATTTCCCCCCACCCCTTTTTGGAAGTATAAGAACCTTCAGGACAACAACTTGTTCTTGGAGTTGCAGAAGAAAACATATTTCCCTTATTTTGATTTAATCACCATACTTATATTTAAAGAGTGTATTATGTGCAATTTTTTCTCAGATTGTCTTTAACTTTGTTTTTAAAATGACCTTCAAAATAAACTGTTAAATGTCATTATTGTAAAGTAGTTTTTGTTCTATATGCTAAATAATTTACGTGGTTCCATTACTTTTATTATGACTTTTTTTTTAAATCATAGAATGCTGCAATTTTTTACAACAGCATGAAAATACATCAGAATCTAATATAATATTAAAAAACTCAGTTTTTTTCCGCATTTTCCCTGTACCTCATGGAGGATGGAATCTGTTTATCTACAGTTTTCAACAACTATAATAGATGATTCTAATGCACAATAAAGTTGAGTTACTGGTATAAGTACTGCAGAGGGTGTATAATATCCTCCCATGCTATCAACCTTTGTGGTATAATATAGTAGCTATCATTGCAGTTCAACGTGTCAGTCGCAGTGCTATTTTACTTAAATTATTTCTAAGATAGCAGCTCTGCAAAGTAGATATTGTTATTCCCATTTTGCAGATGAGGAAACAGATTTGGAGAGGATAAGTGACTTGCTGAAGACCACACTGGTAAGTGCTTGAATGGGCATTGAAACCCACTTTTACCAATATGTTGCTTATAGCTAAGTGAGAAGTATTTGTGCTACTTCATTGCTTCTTTTTACAATAAAAAACCAGCCAGTCCTTTTTTTTGGGTAGGGGGCCTGCTCACTTTGACCTGTATGAGAGGAAAGGAGAGGGAAA